ATCTCCTCCACACACCTCCTCCCTCTCCTTCTTACTCCACCTCTACTCCACAGTATTGCCAGTGTGCGAACCACCCTCTCCCACTCCAACCCGGAATACATTGAAGCACCCCCTCGTCCTTGAACATGTGTTTCGGACGCAGAAGTCGAAACTTGCCACGCAGAATGAACTTAAAGGGACTGAAAAATACAAGTCCCCTCACCTCAGCGCCAACAGCCAAGGCGAGGGGACTTTGTGTTCTCTATAGCGGTGGGTCTTCGTTTGTGTTGTGCATTGAGGGGAGAGGAGAAAGAGAGAGGAGAGACACTGGGAGAACTGAGAGCTAGGTTTAAAGGATTGGGATTATTGTTGATTATGAATTATTAATTATTCCATTATCCATTATTTATTTATCATTATTATCATTATGGTTATCATCCTCACTATCATCATTATCATCATCGTCGTCATTATCATTGTTATTATTATTGGAGGATGATATATTATATGTTTTAATTATAAATTTTACAAAGTAACGTACTGACAGTTTCTGAATAAGCAAAAGCAAAAAGAAGCAAAATAAATCATAAGGAAAATAAAATCGATATATCTAATTATCCAATACTTTTTCTTTGTTAGGGACCAAAGTAAAAATTCACCCCTTCCATAAACCGTTCAAAAACCTCTCTTTGTTTCTTCTTATAAAGATCAACATCTAATTTTCCCATCAAGCTTAGACACAAAGGGACCAATTAAGTCCCTCCCGAACAGTGGTATAATTCAAAAGGTTTTTTTTTCTCTCTGTTCCTATACAAATAGCTAAGATAATACTTAGGCCTTTTTTTAATTCTTTGTGTATCCAATGTCGTGGATTCATTAACATACCGAAAGGCTAAAACGGATTCTTAAATTTGGCCTAAAAGAATTTGAGAGATTCAAAGAGTTAAAACTTGCCATCATTTGCCAACTTACTCCTAATATTCCCTTTACCTTCACAGCTGATGCTTCTAATAGTGGATTTAGTGCAGTTTTGTTGCAGGTTACAGTTTTTTCCATATAGACTGTGCCGTAAGAGTGAAAATAGCTTGCTAATGCATTTGGTATATTGAGGTTTAAGGTTTATTAAGGTTGAAGGACTATCAAGTTGATTCTGTGGCCTCTTAAACTGGCTTTATATATTTGGAATCGTAGTTGGAAGCGAAATCTTTAATTTTTTTTACCCTCGGTGCCTAAAATTCCCAGTCATACCTAAAAATACCACTAACACCTTAAATACTTAAATTAGTGACTAAAGCAAAACAGGATTTTGGTAAATAACGAAAAAGAATGGATGACTCGTTTAATTTTTTTTTTTTTTTTTTTTTTTTTTTTTTTTTTTTAATGGCCAGGTAATTCCCCCGATCTATGTTGCAAAAGTCCTATGTTGATTGACTAGACTTGTTGACTGAAACACTATATATACTTTCGGTACTGAAAAACCGTAAAAGTGTTCGTATGTTCTGGATATACGGAAGAACATGTTGAATGTTTACGGTCCATTCATATGTTATTTAAAGGTATACTGTGCCATAACTTTTTTTATTGTTTCGACAGGTATACATTGTATTGACTTCTGGCATTTCTGGCATGTAATTTCATTCTCTCTCTTTTCTCCTCTCTTCTCTCTCTCTCTTTCTCTCTCTTTCTCTCTCTCTTTCTCTCTCTCTCTCTCTCTCTCTCTCTCTCTCTCTCTCTCTCTCTCTCTCTCTCTATCTCTCTCTCCTCCCTCCCTATCTATCTCTCCCTCCCCTCTCCCTCCTCCCCCTCCTCTCCCCCTCTTCCCCCCCTCCCTCCCTCCCTCTCCCTCTCCCTCCCCCCCTCCCTCTCCCCTCCTCCCCTCCCTCCCCTCTCGCCTCTCCCTCCCCCTCCCTCCCTCCCTTCCCCTCCCTCTCCCTCCTCCTTCCCCCCCCTCTCCCTCCCCTCCCCCCTCTCCCTCCCTCTCCCCCCCTCCCTCTCCCTCCTCCCCCCTCCTCTCCCCCCCCTCCCCCTCCCTCTCCCCTCCCTCTCTCCCTCCCCTCCCTCTCCCCTCTCCCTCCCCCCTCTCCCTCTCCCTCCCCTTCCTTCTCCCTCTCCCCCCTCCCTCTCCCTCTCCCTCCCCCCTCCCTCTCCCTCTCCCCCCCTCCCTCTTCTCCTTTCTCCCCCTCCCTCTCCCTCTCCCTCTCTCCCTCCCTCCCTCTAACCTTTCGCCTCTTACCTAAATAAATGACCAAGGTATCAAATATGATTCCTTTTTCTTAGCCTCGGTGTCCCTCCAGCCTCTCCAAATATTTATTCGCGTCATGGCTGCCCCGTGAATGTGTCCCTCAATTAACCCTTTGTGTGAACTGAAGATAAGATTTTGTATTTGCTGTTGTGGTTCGGGTTCGCCGGTTTGGCAATCTGAATATTTATGCTTCGGTTAATTTCTCTGTCCATCTCTGGTCCCGGTTTGGATTTTAACAGGAAAATCGGGGAGGGTGAAATGGATTCTTATGCTTCAATACTGATTTTTTGGTTTCTCATTGGTATTCATTCAGTTTTCTTACACACACACAACACACAAATACACACAACACGCATTCACTTCTCTCTCTTCTCTCTCTCTCTCTCTCTCTCTCTCTCTCTCTCTCTCTCTCTCTCTCTCTCTCTCTCTCTCTCTCTCTCTCTCTCTCTTCTCTCTCTTTTCTCTCTCTCTCTCTCTCCAATCTATCTCTCTATCTATCTATATCTTTCTCTCTGCGCGCACGAGTGTGTGTGTGCTTGCGTGTGAATATTTAATATATTTTTTTCTCTCTCTCACGTTGAGTTTGTTGTTTAACCGTTAAAAAAGTACAAGCATGTAAAAAGGTTTTGGTAGTAGTAGATTAGGATTTAATTTTAATGCTACAATAAATAGAAAATCCCCTTTAGTTAAAGCCGGTGTCACTTACTTTTTTCGCTTACGATTAAATTATCTGAAACTTACGTATGAGGAAAGGATTTTGTTCCCAGAAGTAAAAAAACAAAAACAATAACAATAAAAATCGAGGCGATGATGTGAAGAGCAATTATGATTATAAAGACCAATGGAAAAATGAAAAGACAATACATATATATGCATGTGCGAATGGATGGAAAAAATCACTGCCGTGGTGATACTATGGTAGAAAACCCCAGAATGCATAAACTATATTTATTGAAATAAGTGAGACGACAATTTCTGATTTCTCCTCGATTCCGTCTTCGGGCCTGAATATGATTATATACATGATACGTAAAAATAAAATTATCGAAATTTACCGAGTATAAATGAATGCACATCCCCCCCCCTCACCCCATGATGATGATGACAATAGTAATATTAATAATGATAATGATAAATAATGATAATAATAATAGTAAATATGATGTTGATAATAATAATAATGATAAAGATGATGTTGATAATGATAATAATGATAGTAAAAATAATAGTAACAATAATAATGATGATGATAATGATAATGAAAATAGTGATAATAATAATAATAACAATGATAATAATGATAATGATAACAATAACAATGACAATGATAATGATAATAATGATAATAATAATAATAATAATAATAATAATAATAAAAATGATAATAATAATAATAATTAATATATAACCATTAGGATAGTATTAGAGTATAATTGAATCGAATAATCGACTGACGAAAAGAACAGAAGAAAAAGAAAAAAAAATCACAAATATCAACCGAAGAAATGTATGAAGTTTGAAAAATAAAACCCAATATCCACCCCGTTTTTTTTTTTTTTTTTTTTAGAAATCAATATCAGACCAAATATCCACTTACTTCCTCTAAAGCCAAATAAGACCAAATATCCACTTACTTCCTCTAAAGCCCAGCCTTACTCAAAACCCACACGAAAACCTATCCAAACACATCACCCACATTATCCCTTCCTCAAACCCGCATGAACGTACCCGCACAGACCCACATCAACCCTCTTACAAGCATCATATCCACCTCATTACTCCAAAATCCTCACAAGATAAAAATCCTCATTCAACGCCCTTAGAAA